GCCAAAAGCTTTTGACTGAAGAAATATTTAGCAGTTGCTATGGCTGAAATAATATTATTCCTATCTCTTCCCTGGTGGAGGCTGTGTGCAATGCAGGACCTCTTGCAAAGAGGGGAGAGAGGGTGTCGCTTCCGTGGAGGCAGGGGGCTGTGGTGTCCCCTCTGATCAGGAAGCCTTCTCCATCCAGCTGCTTTCAACAACCTTAGAACATCTCCAACCTTGCGTTTTTAAGAGAGGTTCTGGAGAAAGTTGCATCCTCATTTAGTTGTGTCCCGGGTAGAGGGGCCAGATGTAGAAAAGCAGCCCTGGTGGAGGCTGTGTGCAATGCAGGACCTCTTGCAAAGAGGGGAGAGAGGGTGTCGCTTCCGTGGAGGCAGGGGGCTGTGGTGTCCCCTCTGATCAGGAAGCCTTCTCCATCCAGCTGCTTTCAACAACCTTAGAACATCTCCAACCTTGCGTTTTTAAGAGAGGTTCTGGAGAAAGTTGCATCCTCATTTAGTTGTGTCCCGGGTAGAGGGGCCAGATGTAGAAAAGCAGCCAAAAGCTTTTGATATTTAGCAGTTGCTATGGCTGAAATAATATTATTCCTATCTCTTCCCTGGTGGAGGCTGTGTGCAATGCAGGACCTCTTGCAAAGAGGGGAGAGAGGGTGTCGCTTCCGTGGAGGCAGGGGGCTGTGGTGTCCCCTCTGATCAGGAAGCCTTCTCCATCCAGCTGCTTTCAACAACCTTAGAACATCTCCAACCTTGCGTTTTTAAGAGAGGTTCTGGAGAAAGTTGCATCCTCATTTAGTTGCGTCCCGGGTAGAGGGGCCAGATGTAGAAAAGCAGCAGACAGGAAATGGAATTCAGCTTTTTCTTGCTGAAGAGAGTAAAAGTAATCCTGTCTTGATTCTGCATCCCATAAAAGAGGTCAGTGGGACACTCTGAAAGGCTTTCAAGCTGCTGTCCTTATGCCCCACGAGAACATCGCAGAGCTCCAACAGGCTCTGTGGTGTCCAGTTCCTGACCCAGCTTGCCTGAAAGGGCTGATGCTGCAACTGCAGAGAGCCTTAGAGGAAGGCGACAGTTTGGCTCTTTGGCAATCGGTTTCCGGCCGGGATACAGGATGGGAATTGCCTTGGTTGCGCTTATGGATGACGTATGGAGATGTGAGAAACAAAGCTGCACAAATAATCCTTCTTGGGTTTGAAAAGGCAAAGTTTATTTTCAACCATTTGCGAAGGCTGACGCTTCTCAGCTAACAGGCAAGGTTTTTATGCATCCCTTCACACGTTGCGTTGGTCCTGCCTCATTTTTGCCTCGGGTGGGCAAATCCGAGTTCACAACCTATCCGAGACGCCTAAAACAAGTACATTATACAATGATTCCCAGTGGGAATCCCAAAGATGGGATGAAAGCTAATGAAACAAGTGTTGCCTTTTATTGGTAAGAATGTGTGAGTCAGGGAAGGGAGAAAAGATAATGACACAAAGGGCAGTTATTTAGTGAAGACAGATGGTCCTGGGCCTTGACACTTATCTGTGACCCCTTCCTTTTTGTAAACACATTCAAATTCCAAGCCCAGTGGGATTCCCAAAGATGTCTCAGTGGTCTTCAGTACCCGACCGTGGCCTTCGTCTACAACGTGTCTGAGGGAATGCCCTGCTTTGCAGTGGTTCTCCTCCTTCCTGAGATCCTGATGGCGGAAATCTTCCCTCTCCTTCAAGCAACCGCCTGCGTGTTTATTCCCGGCTCAGAAGCGAACCTCATCAGCTTTCTTTCTAACAATTTGGAGAGCCACCCAGGAGCCCGAGACTAACCAGGTCAACGGACCGAGCCCGGGCAACTTCACCCGGCCGGCACCGGACCATTTGTCCGGAGGGTGCCATCCTGGACTCTGCCCACTTCGACATTGGTAGTAAAAGGAGTTTTGGTTTTGAGACAAAGAGTGGCTTGAACCTGAGAACCTATCTTGTCTCTATGGGGACAGCTTCGATCTCTCAAGGTTAGTGAAAAAGGCCTCCGGGCTGACAAAGTTCAGGAAGGAAACAGGATTCAGAAATCCTGTTTTGCATTCTAATACCCTTAATGTTTCAGTACAGATATATGTGTGTGTATGTATGTTTAAATACTAAATATGAAATATATGTGTAGGTAATACATAAAATCTTCTGGCATAGCTAATACTCTAGCTGAAAACTTAAGGCTGCTCTTCTGATTTATGTCTTCCTCTCTGCCCTGGTTCCTCCACAAGTTCCTACTGAATCAAGCTAGGGGGCGAAAAAAAAGGAAAAGACACCACCAAGTATAGCAATGGGCAATAAAATCTGAATAATGACTAGAATTCTATACTTGGTGTTATGCATTCCTGACATGCCACATATTTAATCTTTTTTAAATTACTTTTGTAGAGGCGTCCTCTTGTATTTGATTTCTGTGTATTTCTCTTTTGGAACTGACCTTTTCTCCTTTTCATTTCTCTTCTTGAGGCATGTGTGCTGCTGTACGGTTTGGAAAGCCAATTCAGAACATTTCTGGGTGAAGCAAAGCCATATGTACTTGAGCCACTGGTGTTGTGTGGGGGTAGGAGACCTAACCGTGTTCCCGCCCTCCAACAGATCTGGGATTCTGGGGCCTTTTCATAGAGCTCTGGGTCAGAGGAGAGGAAATCTCCTCTCCGGGAAAGGCCCAGGAGAGCTCCAGTGGTCAGGAAGTGGCAACCTTCAGTAGAGGAAGACGGAAGTCTGTGTGGACTGCTTTGAACTGCTGGGAGTGGGTCTCAGGGAAGGAGGAAGGGCTGGGCGAGGCTGCAGAAGAGGGAGCGCGAAGGGGCGAGGTGGTCTTTTGAAAGGCAGCAGAAGATCCACATGGACGGAAGCAAAGAAAAGGACATTGTATGTTGTAAGAGGGTTTGTGGGGTTAGTGTGTTGGGAATGGGGAAGATGAAGGTGGACATTTGTTTACTGGCAACTCTGTCTGAGGGGCTGATCTCAAGGTGGGAAGGCAGTTGATCTAAATACAGAGTTGCAAAAAGCAGCTGTAAGCTCTTTGAGTGGCCCACTGGAAACGCTACCACGAATTGGCCCAGGAAGGAGTGAAGGGTGCATGTTCCTCTCTTTCCCTTTTTCTGGCGCAGGAGAACATCTGCCCAGAAGTGAGGGTAGGAGTAAAAGTCTGAAGGCTCAAATACTATTGTAATGGCAAACAATTTTGCAACACGCTCCACTATACACGCTATTACAAAATAACTCCAGCTCCATGGGATATGTTTTATTTGGGAAACATCAGGGGGGAAACCCCAGTCCAATGTTTTTCAGGAGAATGTTATGAAAAGTCTCCTACCCTTCCTATGGTTTTGGAGCATTAGTTCCCTGAAGACAGAAGCCCCGAAGCAATCTTTTCTTTCCAGTCTATCAGGCTTGAGGCTGTGGGGGTGGGGGGTGGGGGGGAGCTTGCTTCCCCCTCTAATGTAAAAAAGGTAATTGCAGTAAATGGGCAATTTAAGTGTTTCTTTTTAGAATAAAGATCTGCATTTCAAACGTTTTCTTTTGCAAATTTATTTGCTTCCAGCTGCTACTGTTAGGAAAAAGTGTTCACTTCTCTCAGGAAGACCTAGGCAACCTCAGAGGAGCAAAGCTCAGAGAAGGGGGAAGGAGGTACATTTTTGCCCTATTTCTGAATTGCTGGGCTGCCCCCAGGAGTGCTTTGCATTTCCAGTTTTATCAGCAATCTCATTCTCTGCTTTGCAACAAGAATCCAGCACTGGCTGTAAAGGGGGACTTCCGGTGTTTTACTTTTAAATTAAATGGGTTATGAGTAGAGGTTTACTAGGTTTCATGCTTCTCCCTCAATATGGATATGATGAACAAAAGGGAAACAATGTTTAGG